CATCTTCCAAATAAATCAATTCTTTCCAAAGTTCATGATTGATGATTGGCTTTTGCATTTAGAAATGTTTATGAATAACCACGTGCCGGCTTCATGTGCATTCGTCAAACCCCAATTATATTGAAGAGGTCAATTCAAAATAATAATTAATTTTTTTTCTCGTGATCCAATAATAGAATACAATTTTTTTTCTTTTCAACCATAGTAAATATGATTTCTTTGATGGAAACTAAATTTTGAACCCTCGTGAGCAAATACTTTCGGGAGCCAAAGCTTTGAGTGAACAATTTTACTTTAATTTTTAAAAATTAAGTTTTCCCTGTTAATTATACTTAATTCAATTTTTTGGCAAAACTTGAAAATCAGTAAAATGCAACATTTAGCACAATAACATTATAATAATGATTCCTACAACTTCTCACTTCGCATCAGTTTCAAGGACATAACATCATAAGAGAACAACGCGAAAGAGACAAAGGACTTTTATTTATGACCAGATATGGGAAACAAAACCTCAACAAAACGATAAACGGCAGGAAAATGCGTCCATCACATCACATCCACAAACACAGGCTAACCCACTGAATGACACCTAACAAATCCAGACGTATTGCTTTATTCTGAAACAGTGAAAACATCACGTAACTGGAATGGCGTTGCAACATGGCAATCATTCATCACACCCATCACCATCACATCTCTGCATCCTCATCTCATAAATTTCCATCTGACATTATCAGCCATACTCGCTAATATGCTAAAGCACGCATATTAGGAAATTTATTAATTATTATATCACGGTAAACATTATTAGCTCATAAAAAGAAAAATTAAATATTTTTCGCGTAACTCCTGATTTAAAAGAATGAAAATTTTGTTCTTTTAGTGTAAAAGCAATATAAAGTAATCGTGATACCCGACAATGTTTATTTGCTCATCTCATTAAGAGAACATTATCTAATAAGATATTTCGTGTCTTCTCACATACGAACAAAAATATAAAACATATTCCTCCTCAGTTTACTTACGAACACTGTATAGATTATGAAGGTGAACGATACAAAACCGTGAACTTAGAAATTGTCTGTTTCAAATTTAAACGGGATGTTGTTTAGTTAATTAAAGAATCAAATTACATCAACAATTTAAGATACTGCCAGATTAAAAAAACATAAAAATGCGACTAACATATGTGACAAGACTTCAACATAAACATTGTATAAAACACAAACTGCCACATGTGTGTGTAGGCATCTAAGACGGTAAAAATGTGCGAATAAGCCATAATTTTTTAGGCTAATCTCATAGCTTTTTCCATGTCAACAGCGCCTGCTTACTTGACCTGCAAATAACATAAATGTACAAAATGATGGAGTTATTGTATGGTTTATGCTGTTTTCTACATCTAATTTGATGTCATGCTATTTTTATTTTGAAGCGTTTTGGTGGAAACTAATGGAAAGTTGATGAAACGCAGTTTAACATTTTGATGTAACGTTTGTGGAGTTTACAAGGAGTTCTACAATGCAGTAGAACAAAGTAACATTATATAGATGATACAACTTATTAAAATTTTCAAACGACAAACAGACGATGGGAGATTAAATTTTGATCAAATAAACAATTGAGTAAAGAACAAAGTATTAGAATATGAAAGTTTTGGATGTTTAATAATCTCCAAATTCAACTTGAAAATTTGTTGGGCAGTAATTTCGCATTTCGCCAATGCCAAAATATTTCTTACTCTGGGATTGCCTATAAACACCACTGCACACTTTCGAGTAATTTCTAACACAAACAGAAACACGCACACACACACATGAATACACACACAAAAACACACACACAAGCACATACGCAGAAACAAAAAAATATTACGGCGAACGGGGGAAATCAGTTGCCTTTATTTTTTTTTTTAAATAAACAGGTCACGACGTATTTTAATTAAATTTTTTCAATCAATTTACGTTTGTTTCTGCATAATTATGTTTATCCGAAGTTTAATTTAATTTTCAAGACATGCATGGTAATTGAATACAATTAGCAAGACAAAGCAAGTTATAAATGCAAATTATGTCCTCAGTTTGAATCTGTTAGAATGTTTCTCATGAATTAAAAGCATTCTTCATTATTTTTTAGACGATGGTAAATAATTCAGAAAGTAAAATTTAATAAAGACACCACATTTTAATCACATACTTTGATACTGTATATGACTAAACGGTACTTGTAAAAACGATGCTTGGAAATGTTTACCGTGTCGAAACTCATTGGCAAATTTAGAAGTTTTTAGCGTCACTTTTCGGTAGAGATGATTACGAAAAACTGGACCAACTAGGACAAACTGGACACTGGACCAGCAACTAAACCTCGTCAGCCACAATAATTTTCATCCAAAATTTCTGAATAAATCATTTAAATGGTGGTTAATGCATCACCGAATTCTCCGATTTCTTCACGCACCATCATGTAAAGAAAAAGGTTTGGTGACAGTTGATAAAAATTAATACACTTCGATAAGTATTCTTTTGCAAAATTTATAGCCATTTTATTAAAAAATCTCACTTGAAACTTACATTTGTTGACCAACCATGGAGACAAAAAATGTTTAAAAATAGGACAAGCAACCCGATTTAAGAGTACAGGGAAAAAAATATTTTATAGGAGATGCATGCACTTTGCAAATAAAGTCAACGCTGATAACGTCACATAATGTTGTATTGATCATTTTAACATTGCGTAGCTTACTAATTTGATTTAATTAATTAATATATAAATTAATTTATTAAAAAATAATTATATAGAGCTTCATTTTTATAATGAACAAAATTGATAACCAACTTGAATTTGTAAAATTTTTAAAAACGTTCACATTTATGTTCATATCAACCAGATGGCAATAAATTGTTAAAAAAAATAGCGGGCTAATGCAAGATACATTTCGCAGAAGATGTACACACGCAGTGATAGATGGACATGCAGATATGCGAGCATGATTACGCAGATTTATCCACCGATGAGCGTGTTTGTTCGTGGCAATCTGCAGATAGCAAACAAGTCTCTTATACATACATAAACAAGTGATGTAGTGCTGTGTATTTGTTTAATAATGATATAATGTCAGCTCATGTACGAATGTTTCAGCTTGACGTTTGCATTTAAATAGCTCAACATTCAGCAGATGATGTTTCTGGTTTTTCAGATGCCTAGGCTGATTGACGTTATGCGAAGTCTGATATTGATAGCCTTCCTTGGGATAAAAATATGCTACTTGACAGATTGACATCGTCTAAATAAAAATATTCAAGTTTGTTCATGGATTAAAAATAATTAAAATAAATATAAAAAAAATTGGAATTTGAAAAGTGAATTTTAAATTTCAAAATAAAAAGAATCTGTAAAAGAATACAATGCAAGTTGTACATCTAAATGATTTTCTTAAACATAGGAGATATATTTTCAAACAAATTTTTTTGTTTGAACGTTTGGCCTTCTAATCACAGGAGTGTTTTAAATTATTTACAAACTGGAAAAAATGTTGAAATTATCACGATTGGATGAAAAAATCTAGCACAAAATATGAAGATTATTGACTATTATGACGCAAACAATGACAGCACAACAGAAAATTTACAAGTTTTTTATAATTGCAACATTCTTGTTGACAGCAGGTCTATTAATAACTTGAACAATCATTTCAACATCATTTCCAAGTTTCAAAGACGAGAGGCCTATTCAAAGAAGAAGGAAACTGCTTTCGTATCAGTCTGGACAGATGTTTCTTCAATGTCACGGAGTTATGCATTGATCACTATCCTCTCATATAAATATCCGTCATAGATACCGGATCTATAGCAATGGCCAACAGATACATAAAATAAAATCAATAATAAAGATATACCAAAAAATTAAACAAAAAATGTTTAACATTGAATAGCCAACTTTTTTAGGATACGAAAAACAATAGACGAAACATTATGATAAACAGATAGATAGTAATAATAAATAGAAAATAAGGCAATGATTATAATGATAATTATTGCCTTCCCATTAAATAGTTTGGCCACATAAACATATTTCAGAATTTTATAAGCTTTTTTTTTATAACTTTGCATAACTAAAATTAAAATAGGGTGAACAAATTTTTTAAAATATAAAATTTCAACAAGTTTTTACTGCGCACATCTTCCATAAATTATTTCCACTTCACAATTTATGGCAGAAGTTAACATTAACAAATGCCAAAACGGAGTTAAACAAAGTTAAATGGAAAGTTAAATAAAGTCGATAACGAGGGTTTATGGACAAAAGGAACGTTGCTTCGTTCGTTCATATATGTGTGTGCATGTGTGTGTGTGTATGTGTGTGTGTGAGAGAGAGAGAGAGAGAGAGAGAGAGAGAGAGAGAAAGAGAGAGAGAGAGAGAGAAGGGAGAAATGGAGCATGTTAACTTGTGTCTGAGACACATTCATTAATGAAATGAAATGAACCTGATCGACGCATGCATCTGATTGCGTTACGAAGTAAAATGATGACAATGGCGAGCTGATTGCGAATGATGTCATACCAATGTAGCATTATACTCAAATGATGATTTGATGAATTTTATTTTTGTGCGCTCGTTCCCATGTTCGGCATAAAAGTTGGTTCTGTTTGGTTGGTGAATGTGTAAACTGAATTTTAAATTGAAATGCGATGCTGAAATGGTCAAGATTGTTAGTGTTAATTTATTATTATAATTTGAATCGAAATTTACTGAACACTTTTTAACGATAGAAAACATGACTAAAAGTTGATTGTCATTAAAACTTTATTTGAGTAATCCATTGTAATATTGCGTAAGCCTTTTTGGTTTGAGGTTTGAGGACCAACGTTACAAACAACTTAACAATGAATCCAAAATCAGAAATATAAAAGGTTTTTAAATTTATTTATTTTTTTTGAAATTATATGTTTTGTTTTCTTGTTTATATCGAGGTGAAACATTCAGTGTAATGACATTTAACCCGAAATGCATTCTTCATCCGTTTGTAAAACGTTTTCCACCGCAAGCTTGATACGAATATGTAATTTTCCCCTTTCGATATAGTTTTTTATGGCCGGGTAGCCAGGTATAACAAAAAAAACTTATCACAGTAGTTTTCAAGAAAGATATTTTTAAAAAGGTTGTCAAATATTATTTAGCTGGCAATGGTGGGATGAAAGGAAACATTATTGACTAAATTAATCATTCAGGATGCAGAACTCAATCATTTCACAAGAAGCATGTTCATTTGATCCAAATTATCACCATTGTTGCATTCCACAAATAGAACATAAGGCTTGTTTGCAAGATATAAAGTTGCACGAAACACAGCCGTCATTGTAAGGCACAAGATGGTAACATTGTACTGAGAGAGTCTGAATGGAGGGAGTGGATGATGTATGCCGGAGCGACAGACGCACATCTCGCATGAATTTCTTTTCATTTCTTATAGGTGAATAACATGCAATCCATATTTCATTCAATACAGCTAGTTAATTTACGATATATAATATACAGTGCAATATTCAATATGGTAAATTTACGCCATCATATCAAGTTATTAAACGTATCAAACATTTGTTAAAGGTTTTCAAAATTCGTAGTTTCCTGATTATCATCACGTACTGTCTTGAAGAATTATATTGGTTCTGTTTTGTTTGCAATCAGAAAATTTTTCAAACGCCGGTGAAGATAACATCTCACTAAAAAAATAAATTAGATAAATTAAAAAAAGTATTTTACAACAACTTTTAGTAGGTATTGTTTCATGTTTTTTAAATATTTCTTAGACGTTTTTGGCGCTTATTAACGAATTATTTTAACAACATTAATCGGTTTTTATCAACAAACAGAATTAAGATAAATCATGTATCTTAACGTACAAATTTGAGAATTGAAAGCAGCTTTTCTTTTAAACATGTAGACGGAGACAGTAGACACATAAATACTTTTATATCTGTAGCCATAGTCTAGTAACATATTTCAATACAGCAATTCGGACAATAGACAATTTGGAAGACAATATTTTCCTATGTTGACTTTTATTTTTTGTGTTTATTTTTATTTCCGCTACTCCCTCCATTAAACTTTCACCGACTCCTTGAAAGAAATACGAAAGAGGCAATAACATCTGCACCGAAAAGTCATCATCGCCACCACCATAACCACTGCCACCACAACCACCAGCGTTTGATTGACGTCATGAACTGGCGCAAATATTGACTGACGACTAAATGACGTCATCGTTATTAGTATTTCGTTCGGACGTGAGATTTATAACGTAGCTTCAACATTTTCAACGTCAGTGTCGTCGTTACCATTAACAATAATGATGTTTATGAGTAATGTTTTGTTTACTATTTTTCTTCATCTCAACAAATTTTATTATCGTCATCATCAACATCACTATCTTCATTCCAACACCATCATCTTTTCATCAGCATCAGCATCATAATCACGAACACAGCGTAATCATCAATGTCATCATCGTCATTTGATTTTACTGCATCATTAATCTCAATCATCTTCATTTCATGTCATTAGCAATGACGTAAAACAAAAAATACAAATTGGTAAAAAAAAAATAATCAAAATTTATAAATAATAGTCTAAAGAATTGATAAAAATAAAACAATGGAATTGTGCTTAGTTCAATAAAATCATAATTATATTCAAATAATTTCCATATAACCATGAGAGATAATAAAAAATTAGAAGTGGATTTAAACCTTCGATTCTGATCCGGCAAGTTTTGTTGACGCCAGTTACAAGGAGGTTGAAGACAAGTGAGTCGACGTTCAGCTCCACTCCATCCTGCCGTCGGAACCACCACTTCAAAATCGACGTTCGCTCTAGAAATTTTTTGTTGTTGTTTGCTCTTGGTGTTGTTGTTTAGTTTGATTGTAGTGTGCCTTTCTTTACACCGTCGTTGTTTTTGTCGTTGTTGTAATTTGTGTTATTCTCGTTCATTATGATCAAACAATAAATTTGTTACATTAGGGGGCATTTCAAAAGAGTAAATCTTAACTAGGCGGAATCCCCAACATTCAAAAATGTAATCCATAAATTCACAGTTTGAGTAAATAAGTGTAAATTAAATAATTTTTTTTCTTTCTTTTTTTTATAACATTTTAATATTTAAAGAATCAATTATAGAATTATATAAAAAAAAATGTAAAATTTATAATGTTTAAAACCAATTAATATATGCATACATATAAAAACCACTTAATATATGCATATATGTAAAATATGTAAAATTTATAATTTTTAAAACCAATTAACATATGCATACATATACGTGTTGATGTTTTGATCGTTGCTGTTGATGTTTTTATTTAGGCTTTTATTTTCATTGCGTTGTTTGTGGTTTCTATTTAGTGTTATTTGTTGTGATTTTTATGTTATCACCTTGATTAATTGTCTTGTTTTTGAAGAACTTGTTAGCATTTGATTATGAATGTTAACGCGTAGTTGAATCCTTAGTAAAATTAGTTGTTTGTAAAAAGTTGTTAATTTGTATTGAATTTTTGTTTAGTTCTAAATTGTTTACAGAATGAACATGATAAATTATACTACATCCGATCATCTTTTACAATTTGCGACATTTTCTCAGTAATTTCGTTTTGTTTTTAAATAGAGTTAGTTACTGCTGAGTTGCTGTTGTTGTTGAGTTGTTGTTTGTTTGTTGTTTTGTCAAGTACGACTTTTCAATTTCTGTTTATGTTGAAGTTAAAGTGTGTTTGTGTCAGGTGACCTAATGCAAAACTGCTCTGTTGATATTTTGCTTTGTGGTTTGTGTTGTTTGAGTTGAGTTTGCTGTTATCTGTGTGTTTTTTCTCAACCTGTTAAAAAATGTTATCTCTGTGTTTTTTTACCAATCTGTTAAAAAATGTTTTGATGAATGTTTACTTTTAGTTCTATTTGTGTTGCAATCTTGTTGCTATAATCAACAGTTATATAATGGATACTGAGATATTTATGAAAACAAACAAACAAATAAATGATGTTTGTGAAATGTTAATGTTCTGGTCAGTTATGTCCCGACGGTTGGATAATTTAAAGATGAAGCTTTCGTATGCACTGATTACACTATTATTTCATCTTGAGTGAATTATTCAGTGGTATGAAATTCTCAGCAGTGAAAGGCTTTGTTTCGTTTTATTGAATACAATTTGTTGTTGTTGTTGGAGAAAATTTTTTTATGTTGTTTTTGTTGTTGTTTGTTTCAGATTGTTTGTTCTACGCAATTTGTTTCATACCAGTTTTTTTGGTTTTGTTGTCTTTTGTGGCTCTGTCGTTTTACACACATCGCAGCCATAGTTAAAATTTGTTATCCTCATAATGATGACATTGTCTTCGTTAATATGCTCTGATTGTTTGTTTGCTTGTTGGCTGATTTTTTGTTTTGTGTTTTGAGTTGACCTGCCACAAATGTTATTGTTGTTGATGTTCATTATTTGTGTGTTGTTATTGTGGGTTGTAGAGAGGGTTGGTTGTTGGTGGGCGATAATTGTGTTTAAATTGCATGTTGTTATAACAAACTTTTTGAAAATTCAAAATTTCCAATAAAATCATTTATTTCCCAAAATTTAACAACTCCCATCAAATCATCATAACACTCGCAAAATCACTCGCCTGCCAATGCTTCAAACGTTGTACATGTGCATGTAGCAGTTTTAATCTTGAAAATTATAAACATTTGTTTTAATCTTGAAAATTATAAACATTTGAAAAACCACCATGCAACTGTTGGTGAAACATTGAAACGTCCGCGTATAACATTACAGTTTTAATGTTTCTAACAACAATGCAGCATATCATATCATACACAGAAGATGAATTATTTTAATTTTGTTTGGCCATCCTAATGGAGCCCACAGTATTAAAAAATCGTTACAATTCTCGATTGCCATAGGCGTACAAAAATTGCAAAAGTTCGGTTATTTTCTCTATTTTGTCATCTTTATTAAAATTATTTCAAAATGTTGCTTTTGTCGTGAGATACAGGCCTAGACTCATACACGCTTGAAATATTGAGACACGCACATTCAAATTTCCCGCTACAAATTTTCATTCAATGCAGGAATGCAAATTGAAATAACCAACATTTATTTATTAACGCAATGTAAACCAACAAAAAAAACAACAATTAAAGTCAACTCTCAGAGTACGGACCTCGCGAATTGACAATTGAAATTTTTAAAAGAAATTATCATAAATCATAATCATCATAAATGTATAAACACTAAAAAACGAACAAACAAACAAACAAACGAAAAACAAACGAACGAACGAAAGAACAAAAGAACGAATGAACAAACGAACCGTGAATGGAGAATTTGATGACGGAGGCACTCTCTGGCCGAATGGAATAATCGAAAAGATTTGATTGCGCTGCTTTTTTAAAAACTACTTGCAAATCTCGCTCCTGTTCACCCTCGTTTGTTGTTTTGATATTTGTGTTGTCTGGACTATTTTTATTGTTAGTGTTGTTCTTGTTGTTGTTAGCGATGTTTTTGTTCTTAGAATGTTTCAGATGTTTACGATTATGCGACGATACAATGCTGTTGGTGTTGTTGTCATGTGGTTTTGATTTGAAACGTTCATCACCGTGTTGTTGTTGTTGGTGGTGGTGGTGGTGTGAAACATGTGGTTGGAGATTGTATTGTTGTTGTTGTTGTTGCTGTTTTTCATTGTTGTTATAACCCTTATAAGCCAGCTCCTTTTCGTTATGTTTATCAGTACGGGACACAAAATCAACTTCACCTTTTCCATGGTCTTGATATTCATCGCCAATAGTATCATCATCATCATCATCATCAAAAACACCGTCACCATCATCAACATCATCCTTTTCCTCGTCATCATCGTCACTATCATTATTACCATCATCACCATCACCGGCAATCACACTTGAGATGACGTTTCCTTCCTCGTCGTAAACGTGTGATTCGACGTCATCATCACGTGATATGACGTCACGCATGCTTTCCAAGTCATCAACCTCCATGACACTTGCGTTTTTCAGTACTACCAACGGTATGAAGTGGTCGATGTCCTTGTAGCAATCTAACCTAGATAACTTCCGTTTGTCTCTGACCCAGGTAGAAGTGCTGTAGAAGAATGGAGTGTTGAACCTGAAGTAGGTGGCCACTGAGTTGGCTGAGTAATTGAAGACGTAGAAACGATTCTTTTGTTTTGACGGTGCAGATTGCATTGAGTCTGAAGTGTTGAGGAGTTGATGTTGCTTTTGCTCTTGATGGGGTTGTTGGTACATGCTGAATTGTTGCAGATGGTGATGTCTGAGATGTTGCTGGTGTGATTGCTGTTGTTGTTTGTGCAACTGTTGTTGTTGTTGGTGATGATGGTTGTTGTGAGCCAAAGGATCATTGCCGTCAAACGATTTCAAAATGTTTTCACGAAAATTTGAAACTAAGTTTATGTTGTCAAAAGATTTTTTTAAAGTTTGGATGCTTTTTTGAGCAGGCGATGCAAGCGGATTTTTAAAAAAATTATTGAAAGCAGCTTTTGGATCTTCAGTTTGATGAAAGTTGTTTGCACGCCGGCTCAAGAAGTTGCTACTTTCACTCTGACGAATGCTGTCAATTAAAATTTCATTATTGTGGCTGTCCTGGGAACGTCGTTTTTTGATAGTTTTTTTTGTGAACCGCCATTCGTCAGCTTTTTCAAGGTTGGTAGTTTTCTTGTCGTCACTTGATTTTGCCCGTTGTCGTGCATCACTCTTTGATAATTTTCCTAGTAGCATGAACTCCTTCATGACGTCAAACTCGTGAGTTACTCGCATGAAGTACATACGCAGCTGTGTTTACGAGAGGTTGTTTGCTAGTCTTTATATAAATGATGATATGCTAATTGACGATATGTTTATGAAAATATGTAAATGACGATATGCTTATTGACCATATGTTAATGTGTTAATTGTCAATATGTTAATGACGATGTGTTAATGATGATGTGTTAATGATGATGTGTTAATGACGATGTGTTAATGATGATGTGTTAATGATGATGTGTTAATGTTAACGAAGACAAAATTAATGATGATATGGATGTTTTCAATGCTTATAATTTTGTGAACATATATTTTTATTTGTTTATTAACAAATTTTTTCATCAATAATGAAATCTACGAGTACGAACTCAAACAAACACAAAAACAAACACACATACACGTGTCACCTTTTTAACAGACTTTTCATCAAACAAGTAACTAATCTCCCTGTGAAACTCCGGGACGCTGAAGTTCAGCAAGTTGACCTGAATGTGTACGGAGATTTTGTATCGAATGTAGGCAGATGAGAGACGTAGATGACACTGGAAGGAGCTGAAGAGGTTCTCGAAGATTGGTGTCAGGGTGAAAATGTAGGCGTCTCCTGTTACGAAAATATTAATTATTATTTATTGTAACGATGATAATGCAAACATTTTTTTTTTTTAAGAGAAAAAACTTTCATCATTGTAATGAAATGGCGTGTCATTGTTTTTCACTTCTTTATTTTTCCCTATTATCGGTGTATTTTTAATAATTATGAGCAAATTACATTCGCTCCAGTTTTGCAAAAATATACAACAAAAAAGTGACAAAAAACCTATTTACTGTCAGTTAAATATGCATGTACAATTGTACATTAATACTAATTACTTATTGGTGCATATGACGCTACTGGTTGCATTTGACGCGCGCGCCCACACACACACAAACACACACAAACACACCACATACACACACACACATACACACATACACACGTCAACACATATTTATAATTCATAAATATGGAGATGAATCACCACATCCCATCTAGATATGACAGATACGGATATATTCATACCAGATTTCTCCTTTTTTTTTGCGACTCATCAGTTGGCAGCTAAAACTTTTTCAAAATATTTTCAGATATTTTATTCAACTTTAATCATCAATCTATATCATTGTAATAATGATATCATATCATTCATTGAGTAGTCTCCGTCAATATTTCAACCTCACTGCGTTAAACTTCTTTATTATGCCATTTTTTGATTTGGTTTTATAAAAATATCAACAAATCTAAATAAAAATAATTTATAAACACGTTTACCAAAAAAAACTATAAATGGTCGAAGTCCTTGAAAAAACAATAAAAAATACGAAAAAATATTTCCAATAATGGAAATTATATCACCTTCAAAATGCCAATTATTTAATGCAAATCTGGCAAGCAACGCCGCCTGTGGCTATCATTTTTCCGCTAATTTTATTCCATTCTAACGACAAGATGGAGCAAAAATGAGTGGAAAATGTAGAGAAAGAGGAAGGAAGAAGCAAAGAATAGATAAATTTATCAAATGACGGATGTTATATAATATATTTTTAGTGGTTGTTGGAAAGAATTCCAGAAAAATTTTTTTCTAAACAAAATGTAGGAATAAATTTCAACAGGTGATGCGATAAACAGGTGAAATATATTACCCATGTTAAAGTCAATGACTTATTCCTGTTTAAATGTCTTTTTGGATCAAGTATTTACAATATGAATGTTAACGGTACCTGCATGGTGATAAAATAAACCTTATTAAGTTTTTATGACTTTTTTAAATTGCTTAGTCCATGGGTAGACAAACTACGGCCCGTGAAGGCATTTTATGCAGCCCGCGAGGCGTTTTCAACATTTTTGAAAAAAAGAAATTATGAATGAAATTCCTAAAAAAGGTCTTCAGCAAGATTTCATGACCCAAAAAAGTTTGTCGTCAGCCGTAAATGATAATGATGAAAATGATAAAAATTCCCTATCGATAAATGTACATATGCGGCCCTTGAAGGTTAAATAGTTTTCAATGTGGCCCTCACAGCAAAAAGTTTGTCCCCCCACCACTGATTTAGTTTGATTTAATTTATTCTATAATTAATATTTTGATTAAATATCATTAAACGTTTCAAATAAAATATCCCCAATATCGTAATATTTGGACATTAAAAAAAAATTAATAGCAAATTAATTGTTCCCATGTAGTATTTCATCGAAATTGTGTAAATTTTAATCAGCTTATGTTAAATAGGCTAGAAACCTCATGTTTTTATCGCGAAAACAAGGTTAACGTACGTGTGAATATAAATATTATAAGTGGAAATTTAAAAAAAGATTCATTTGAATCACCAGAAGATAAATGATTTTCAAAAGAATTTGAATTTTATTTGAAATTTAAAAATACTTTTGAAGGATTCAACATTTAGTCATATAATAAATGAGAAATTTAACAAATTTTGACGGCGTTACTTTAAAAAATTGGCAAATTTTCTCAAATAATTTTACTTAACATTAATCATCAAAACTTGAAAAATTGTAAAAAATATTATAGAAAAAATTAGAAAAATATCATTTCAATCCCGACGCAGCTTTAATTATTACAGCAATAGAAACATTAGCGGTTACTTCGTAAACATTTTGTGCCACACACATCTTCAAAGACGAGAATGATTTATGAAAAACTTTGAAAAGAACATTCCACATAACTAATGAAGGCACTCACCTTGAGCACAAATAATTTCATCATCGCGACATTCTTTTGAATAGGCTTCCAAACAATCTTCCGTATTAAGGCATTGTATCCTGCCGCACGAGTTTTCTGAAAAACAAAAAAATAATTCAGACTAGTGCGAAAAATCTTTCATAAACCAGAGTAGAAAAAACAAAAAATGTTATAATTAAATTAATTTAATGTTTACAAATATGACTAATAGTAATAAAGAAAATAAATTTCCAAAAAACATTAACAGAACATTATGTAACACTTCGTGTCGTATATCACTTCAACATCCGTTCTTATCCTAATGGTCTTACTAATGGTTTTTACTAAACATTAAAACTCTACATTATTATTTTTCACCACCATTAGTAAATCTAAATAAAACATTTTATTCAAATTTTTTCTTAAAACACAAATTATTATCAAATTGAAATTTAATGGATAGATTTTTACCGAAACCTTTTTATATTTTCTTCCTTATTTGTACGTAGCGTAGCATTTATGTGTCCAAAATATCTAACTTTATATATTACGGTTGAGCATTTATCAATAGAAACCAATCTGGCGATGCATAAACCGACGTACTAGCCGATTGTAAGAGGGTTTTTATTAGGAAAAAACTTTCTGTACCATAAAAATGAAACCAAAAAAGCCCATTGAATAGACACATACAACATCGTTTATTCGATACTTACTGTTACTTAACGAGACACATCGTTAAAATGTTTGTGCTTAAATGTTATTGTGAAATATAATACGGTAATAAAAAATTCATTTCGAATTTAAAATATTTTTTTGTTTGTTGTAAATTCAATAGAAATTGTTTGGTGAAAGTTAATACACCCAACCAGAAACTTAATATGAAATTGTTAAAAAAATAGTGGGCATGCGGTAGTATTCTCATTAAATTAAATATCTGAAGAGCATAACGTAAGGGAACACCATCACTTTATTTTCATTGTTAGTTTCATCTAATCCAGGGGTGGGCAAACTACGGCCGCACCTGATCTAATCAGTTAAAAACGGCTTTGCACAGTGTCATTAATTTTATGGTTTCATTTTTTAGTTTTTAAACAAAAATTTAGTTTTAGGAATGTTTAAATTGAACGATGCTTTATACAAATAATATTTGAATCGTGAATTTCTTAGGTACACTTTGCAATAAACGTTCATTGATTTTTGTTGTTGAAAAATTTATCACAGAAAGAGTTGGCATTTTGTTATATTATGTTTCACAAGCTTCAACGCTCTCCAAATTGTAAGGCCATCAATTATAAACAATCAATAATATCACCGAGTAGTGCAGGGTATGACCGTCTTCAGAGGAAATGTAAAAACTTTGAGCCAACATTTGCTAACAATGCATTTTTAATCGAAAGAAGAAAGGAAGATAAGAATATTGTCACATGCATTATGATGGATGGTTCGTTTGGGACTAAATGTTCCTTAGTAATGTTTGAGCCGGTGCCATGTAATAAATTTATTACGACATTTTGTTTTGAAAAATTTGGAAGTATATTCTTAAAAGCATCATTTCGCTAATTAATGTTCTTAAGTTCAAATGATCAAATGCATGCTTGACAGAACTGATACAGCGTGCTAAAAATCTCAATAACTTCTTTGTGCTTGCAATGCTTGCTGATGAAAATTTACGCGAGGAGTACAAATGATGAGACTGGAGTTGATGTGTCACACATTTTTAAACACTATTGCAACCATGATGGCAGCTTCTAACGCAAACGCAATCCTTTACTATATAATTTTTAAACATAAAATTAATAATTAAAAAAATATGCGTTGGCAAGTATAAGATAATTTATTATTGCTATTTTCATTAGCATGAAAAACAATTCTAATGTTATTTCAAATACCGATATAAACATACTAACGAGTACAAAAATTAAAACCTGCTTCAAACATTGACATGATAGCTAAAACACGACACACAAAACTTTCATAAAATAAATACTAATTAAAAAAAAATCATATACAAGATTCACTGGACCGACCTCCGTAAAAATCGTGACCCTGCATGCATTGCCTGCACCGCTTCTTCGCATCGTTGCAATCCTTACTCAGCTTTTTTACTGGTCGTATGGGACTTTGCGCTGGGTTGAACATCAGGCCGAGCGAGTGGCGGGTATCTTCCATCTGACATATCACTGAATTGCTTTTTGATGATAGAAATTCATTCCCACCACCCTGAAAAAAGATGGATGGACGAACGATTGGAGAGATGAGTGAATGGAAAAATGAACAGACGGAACAACACTAGGCAACGAAATGAAGAATTTTTAAGCCAAACATTTCGACGCCATTTAATGCGATTTGCGTTCAATGATGTTCGGCTAACCATTGTCTCAAACGGAAATAGAATGCACTTCCGCTCCATTCACCGTGCTCACGAACGTCGTTCATTGCGGATAAACAAGTTTTCAATTTTATTTTAATTATTAACTCGAATAATTTTAATGTAAACAAATAAATGTTGAAAAAATAAAAAAAATGACACTCTTTCCAAAAAATCTACGAATAATTTTTTAATGAAGCATGGAAAGTTATGTGGCTGTTATATTTATGAACAGAAGGAAAGATTTGATCATGAGATCATTCTGTTTCTTCTTATTTGTACTTTATTCTTAATTTTTATGTAACTGGAATTAAAAAATAAATTTTTACAAACCTTGGAGAGGCAGGGGTCGTTGATGGTTCTCTGCACGTACAGACCATCTTGCACCTCCCCCGAATATTCTGAATCACCACGCTGCCCGTATTTTCTGGCAAGTTGGTTTTTCAAATGAACTGAGCTACAAAAATCTTCGCCAGCTTCATCGTCGAAACGACCTCTCAAGCCATCAACTGTTTCCCTATCGAGCAAATGATGCTGCGATAATGTCACGTCTTTTCCTTTCTTGCTTTCTTTCGTTATTTTTTTGTTGCAGTCGACCAGTTTTGCGGTTGTTGTCCTATCCTTGGCGACACTCATCGTCAGCATGTAGTAATCTGGCACCGGGTAACTGATGGGATTCATGAATGTGTAGCATTCAACAACGTGGTTTCAGACAATAAAATGGTTGTTAACGTCTAAAACAAATTCAAATTTTTTAATACCAAACAAAACCAGATAATATTGGTCGTGGAAATAGAAAATAAAAAGATGTGAATTTTGATATATACATCATACATGACATATCATAGATCATATACATATATATATATATTTATATACAATACATATATATATATACAATACATATATATACAATACATATACACACAAAATATACATTCAAACACACGCACGATACATTACAAACAACACATACGTCACAGAAGCACATAAATATAAACGGAGAAAGACTGCATAATTGTCTGGCTGGGACATATGAAACATCACTCATACATAAAGAAGCAACACTCAATCAACAAGCTCTTCTAAAACTCTACACGTTTCTCATCTTCGTCATCAGCTGCGTGATCATAATTGCTGGTGTCATTGCGATTGTCATCATCGTGATCATCGTCATTTTCACCAACATTTCCACCACCATCATCGTCATCATCATCTTCTTCCTCTTCTTTCCCATTACCATTATTATCATCATCACAATCTTCCTTATCCTTCTATCATCCTCTTTTCTATCATCATCATCATTATTGTAATGCACATTACAAACACAGTGTTACGTAAAAATCATAGTAGCAACCATTAGCATACAATGTTTTGCTTTCGTTGTATGACATATTTAAAGAGAATTTTAAATGATTTCTTGAATGTTTATTTACTAAAACTACATTTTCAGATTTTTTTTTGATTTATACAAAAAAATTTCTACGTTGCCGTTTAAAAAAAAAGTCGAAAAATTTTTCAATTAAATTGAAAAATAAACAGAATAAGCTGCCCTACCGATAATAAACATTCAAAAAAACTGAACAATTTGAATGAGCAAAAATATAAATGAGCCAAAAATATAAATGAAAACAATGAAAAAATAAAAACAGATGGATGAACAGGTGAACGAACGAACGAGTGAACTAAAGAAGTGAACTCACAAGTGGACTAATGAAAAATCAAGTAAAAAGAACAAGTGAATGAGCAAATGAATTGAGACAATAAAGTAATGAATGGAAGAGATTGAAATTTTTAAAGAACTTTTTTTGGGACACAATTGGTAATTGACTAATAAATTTCCTGAACGTTTCCTAAGTTACATATTAATGGAAGTCCCAGACTTTAGAAATTTGGATAAAAAACACTTTGCAGAACAAAGGTTTTTAATAAAAATGTTAACGCGTTCAATATGTATACATTTTCTATAAAAAAAACTCCAATAAACATCTGTTGGTATTAATTTTTTTTTTCAAAAAAAAATTCTTTTAAATTACATGATACTGCCTCAAAAAACTCATTTAAAAAGGTTTCTATAATAATAATCCTTAAAAATATTTTAATTAAATTAAGCAGAGGCAGACATAATGTTTAATTAATAATTAATTAACTTAAATCTTTTTGAAGAACAAAACAATCACTCCCATCAGACAGCAAGAGTTTAAAAAAGCCCACCAATTTTCTGGGTGGGAAGGAACTTCGTGTTAGAGAGTGCTAAACGCAATTGGAGAATGAGTCAGTCATGTTTGGTTGGCGTATATCACATCATCATCCAGTGTGGACGCCATGGATTTCAATTGCAGTTTTAATTAAAAGTCTCCACATTCTAGGTTAGCGCACGCGCACGCACACGCACACAAACGCATGCACACTTACACACACAGACCAGACATACACACATTTACACAAACACACAGACATACACACATTCACTCACAAACGCAAACACACACTCACGCAAACACACACACATGTTACATGTGTAATTCCTGGCTCGGCCACATTAAATTTCATTGTTCTGTCTTCTAGTTAGTTTATTTTATATTTTATTTCCTCTTTTCTTTCATGGCACAGACAAGTTAAATTTTACCATGTTCCTCCCTATTCTTCGTAGCATCATTTTTGCTTTTATTTACATTGTATTGATGAAGAAGATGACGATAGTAGTGAAGAAAATGATGATAATAACGTTGATGATGATGATGATGACAACGATGATGATGATGATGACAACGATGATGATGATGAGGCCGATAGTGATGATGGCGTTGGTTGTATGGAAAAAAGAAAGCACGTGGTAATGATAATTACTTGGATAATTTTTTAGAATGACGTCATAAATGGTTGATAAAGAAAATATTTTAAGAAGATGCTGCTTGCTGATGACGATAATGAGGATGAGAATGATAATATTCTATAATAATGATGAAATGAGAATAATGTACGCTGTGTTTATAAATAACAAATTACCTGATTATATTAGTATTATTGAAAATCAACGTATACAATTACCAATGCAGTTAATAGCACTCCTTATACGGTTATAAACACTTTTACAACAAACTATAATTGGTTATAAAGTAGTCGGAACCATCATCTGCAAAGACATGACTGATTTTGAAAGTAAAAACTAATAAAAGTAAAATATAATCCTTTATATAACAACAATTTTAAAAAATAAATAATTTATGTAATATTCATAAACACAAAATAATAAAAGAATAGTAGTGTGAAAGTCAGGTAACTTTGCATGAAAAGTCAGTTAAGAAAATATCCATCCCCATGATGTTATGACACCTGTTTGAAATTTTTACTCTAAACATTTTGTAATCACTTGTCAGCGTTTGAGTTTAAAAAATCATTCTACGCATTTTGTGTACACACACACACAAATGTATATATATATATATATATATATATATATATATATATACATTTGTGTGTGTGTGTATGTGGTGTGTGTGTGTATAACTTATTTGTAATATCAACCATCAAACAACAAAGTGTATGTTTGGGTAGGGTAGAGTTAGCGCAGATGCATCTAACACCGGGATGGATCTCTCTTCTATTTTGCCCCAAAATTTTGGTTTCATTTCATTATTAAAATAATTTCAAAAAATATTGTTTTATAAAAGCAGGATAGAAAACAAATTCAAAATTTTCTTTGATGACGTCAGCACTTGGAAAATATTTCTGTCAGTTTCTCGCCTGACTAACCTGCAGAAGTGCTCGGTTATTTTTCTGAACGCTTCCGTCCTATCAAAAAACGATGAATCTTTAAAGACAAAACTGTTGTCGCTGAACTCATCATCGTCGTCGTCGTCTTCGTTGCGATGTTCTGAATAAATTACATTTAATGGAAAAAATGAAAAAAAACGCCTGTACGCTCACGTTAAAGGGAACGCGATTATACGTATCTGAAATCATTTCCAACATCCAATTCCGCAACAAAGTATTGTCTTTTTTGTAATCCGCACTAAATAAAGTTTTACTAGGAAAAAACATGCCAACCTTTATTTATGGACCTTTTATTCAGCCCGAGGCCATTTTTTTCAAAATCAACCGAAAGTTTTTGTCTCTGTGTATTTTTGTCGAGGCCATTATTTACATGGTTAGCTAACGTACTTTTGTCAGAATATTCATCAACACTATTTTTATAAGTTTTAACGTTGTTATTGATGTTATAATTTGTATTGTAATTAATTTGCTGGGTGGCAGTGGTGTAGGTGGGCAGCATGTTGAGCCCTTCGATGTTCACTTCCACCTTGGCCCCTGACTGGCGATCCCAGAAAAATTGTGTCGTCTGGGTGTCGGAAGTGACGTAATGTATGAAGTCCTGCCTGCCGAGCGTGTGCATGTTCTCACTGAAAACATTCGTCGATATTTCAACGCGGATCTCTGGCGGAGGTTGTTCGGTTCGGTTTTTATATGAAGTCACACTCAATGTAAGTAATTCATCGCGAAACAAATGACTTATTTTCAAAATGACAACACTTTCTAAGAGAGTAAAATGCGTTTCACTGAATAACAAAAATTAAAATAAAAATTAAACAATTGTTAATACATCACGTTGTAGCAAACAGAAGCAACAACGTAACATCGTTGAAGGGGAGGAATGCAGGCAACTAATTTTGACCGACAAGTAGAAGAATAATGATAATAAACAGAATACTTGGAAATTTTATGTGCCAACTTTACACACGGCATGACAAGAAGACGGCAGGCATTCAAACATCGGGCAAGAAATATACGCACACGGACGTAAAAGCGTAAACTAATACACTCACATATACACACACCACACACACGCATACATGATAATGATAACCATGATACAGATGATGAGGCTATGATATATGATGATGATGACTATGATACATGATAATGTGATACAAACTTCTTTTCTTCTTTGCATGAGGCAAATAGTGCTTATCTACGGAAAACATTTTTTGGAAGATACTAATTATTTTCAAAATTAAATTTATTTTTTCTATTTCAGTTGTTAAAATTTTTCATCTTGATTTATTATGAAATTAATAAATATCTTCAAACATTTTTTAATTTAAATGTTAATACAAAAAGAATAGCTGAAACAACATAAATAAAAACTGATTATTGAAAAGATAAAACTAGATCTGAAATGTAAAAATTAATTATTGAAGTCTTTTATGCAAAGAATTAAATTAAGGAAAATTAAATCATCGACTGATTGGCTTTAAATCTAGCGAATTAAGATTCTACCAACTACATTGTGTTAACGTATGAACATTTCATTTTGTACAGACTAAAAGTATCGGTAGAAATTTCAATTTTTATAAATCGTCATAAACGTTAGAAATAAAATTTTTAAATTTTTAAAAATTGATGCTATTCGAAACGAGCGGCAATCGCGGGCGGGAAGATGACGATAATTGTTAACGAGGCCAAATGCTGCGTATAAAATTGGATAGGTTTCCATGGCATCGCTTCATGCAATGTCCTCTATTCAAATTTATTTTTTCAAATTTGTTACGTCAAATTTTATATCTCATCAAAATTTTTTTAAAACAAAATGGGGCTCATGTTTTTTATCTATAATCTATTTTATTTTAGAAGATATGTTTTCTTCGGAACAGTTGAATGTTATCCTATGTATGAAACTTATCTGGAAATTGGATGAACACGATATCGCTTAACCGGCAAAAAAGGTTCACATTAACCACATTCTTCAACATGATTAAACATGATTAAATTAAAAAATATTTGCCTTGCAAAAACAAGCACATGCGAGTTCGTTATTCTGAGATATGTTCGTGCTCTATTCAAAGTTAACTATGAATGAATACGGTGCCGTATATATTGATCGTGTCCAACAACCTTCATTCAGTTTTTCTACGTTTTTTTACACTCTCTCCCCCTCTTCCCATCTGTTTATCTCTATTTGTGTACTTCTTGTTTCTTCTCATTATACATAAACCTAGGCTATTCTCTGTTTTTTGTGAGAGCGTTTTTTTTGTATTTATTTGTTTATTTATTAATTTTTTCGTTTGTTTGTTCATTTGTTTGTATGCCTGTTTGTTTATTCATTCATTTGTTGTCTATGAAATAGACATGCGTTTGTGTGCATGAATAAGAAAGAGACAGTTTATCACGGAGTAATTTTTGCGGTTGTCAATAAAGCAGAAGATGTCGAGAGGCACTTGCTAGCATCTCTTTTATTTACGATCGACCTCATCAAAAGTTCATCTACATGGAACCATAAAAATGGATAACTTTTTTATACCTAGGCACATTGCATTGTGTTGTACATAAGCGCAAGATGGCGTCTGATGATTTTTACTTGAAAGGTTATGCTACTACGATTTGTCTTGGCTGCCTAATATGTGTCACAATGAACATGGGCGTAAATATTAGTGTATGTTCATAAAGGAATACAGGAACATTCGCAGGATGAACGACGATACGTCCGAACAATTGGAAAAACTAGGTACGAATTTTAAAAATTGTAATATTGAAACGATTCAATCGCTCACTGAGAGCCCGCGTAAAAAATTTACGAAACTTGAAATCAGCTCATTGGTCTGCTAAGGATGAAGCGAACCATCCAAAAAAATTTTTTATTTTTAGGTGAAAATGTAATTGAGCAAATCTTAAATTGTTATGTGAATCATCTTTCGGGCAAAACGTTGTTTGAGCGAAACTCCAATTACCTTATCGAATACAATTTTAATTCATAATAAGTGCATATGAAGTGCTTAATGATGTACGAATGAAAACATGGTAATGAAAGTATGCTAATAAATTTGTTTTCATGTGAACGTATCGTACATGAAACTGAATGTTTTAAAAGTAAACACCTTTATATTCAAAGCCAGCAATTCATTTGCACCTAGCGGTAGATTTGTTGAGCGATCAATTAGTCGTACGTGCTTGTGCATTTCCAATCAACTTTAAACACAACGCAGGTGTTTTTTTTTCAAAAATTCACAAAACTTTACGCATCCATTTAAAATTAATGCTTATGAAAGTTATAAAAGGAGGGAAGCAGCTTCATTATTGGTCGTCATCCGATGGTCAAATCTTATTGCTCCCCGCTTGTCCTTCAAGATTGTCTCAAACATTTACAGCATTTTTATTGCACGCCGATGAACAATCTCTCCATTCTCTTTCTTTCTTTGCTTTATTTTTGTGTGAGTGTTGTTGTTTTTTGCGATGGTGTTGGTTTGAATTACTATGTTGTTGTTGTTGTTACTAGATTGATGTTGTTGTTACTGTTGTTGTGTTGTGTTGTTGTTGTATGTTGATGTTGTTGTTCATTTTGTGTTGCTGGGTTTGTTGAATTATTTTACTATATTTGCTTTTTTCATTGTTCTTATTCCTCTATTTCTTATTATCGTCGAATTATTTTCATGAGAAAAAAAATGTTTTGTAATTTTGTCTACACGACTGAACGAAAACCAATTGAAAATATTATACCGTAATTTTCCCCAGTAATGTTTTAATTTTTGATATTTTTGAAAAAGCAATTTATTCCAATTAACAAGGTTAATGAAACTTTGAAACGTTTTAGTTGTTAGCCTAACTTCATGTTTTGTTGTTCCAGGCTTCTTGATAGGTTTTAATTCCATTATCTTTATTATTTGCATAAAATACAGCATTATTAACATTGCACCTATCAGGTTCATTATTGATTGAAAACTACAATGCGTCAACTAATAAAAAAATCACCCTAATAAATACAATCATATCAACAGAAAAATATTTCACTAAAATTCCGCTAACCAAGTATCAGTAACTCTTCATATCTGTCGTCATCGGCGCCATCCTGCATGATGTCATCGTAATTTGTGACGTCATCGTCACGTGCTCGGAAATTGAAACGGGAAGCAGACGATGAGATGATGAAGAGAGATGAAGAAATCAAGATGGCTACTGAAATCGCTGCTGGCTGGAAGTTCATCTCTGCCAGGCATTTCATCTGAGACTTTCTTTTTATTGTCGTCTCGTTTCGATTCGTTTCGTCTCAAAAACTCTGAAAGGTGAAATGAAAGGATGATTGAGGTTAGGAGTTTGATGGTCAGGAGCGATAGGAGTGTCATCCAGATATGTCTTTCCAATAGCATGAACAGATTGTTTTTGTTGCTTTTATAACAATAGCCTGAGCTTAAGATGCATAACAAATCGGCAAACAAACAAGATATAATATTTATTGTTTGGATGAACAATATTCTGATAATAAAAAACTAAGCAAATAATGAAATGATGGAAGAGGTGAATAAATAGTTTGGACAAGAGTGAATGCATATTTTAATGGATTGAACAAATTTGAATTATTGAGTCTATGAGCGGTAGAAGATTGTTAGACTCCGCATATCTGCTCTATCAATCAATCATCGTTCAAATTAGAACACGCTTGAATGAATGGATGGATGGATGGATGGATGTAGGTTATCGTATTTATTAACAAATACTATTATATTTTAATGTTTCAAAACTTCGCTTTAATTAAATTGTGAAAAAAGAAACTTTATTTCAATTGAAATAAAATCTTTTACTTAGGTTATATATGACAAATACGATGTATGATTGTGAGAACGCAAATAAATAGTGTCAGTATGTCTACAATCAACAATATCATGTTTGTGAATGACTGCGTGTACGAGATTAATAAGTGAAACATCACAATTTATTTTCGAAAGAGTTTGTTTATGAATGTCTATGAAATTTAATGTTCGTTTAATAAAAGTGTACACGCTTCAATTAAATTATTTAGCAACAAATCAAAAACTGATTTGCCGGTATACAATTGTTTGTCTTTCTTTGTTTGAAACCTCTAATAGTTTACGATTTCATGCCAACTTGTCATAAATCGACCTAAATCCCAAAATAAAAAGAGTTATTTACTAACGAGATTTCATGAGACACCACAGCACAAAACCATCATAAACTAACAACATAAACCAAGAGTAAGTTGTCGTAATCTGTCGTAACGAGTCATCACGAAATCATAATTTAAATGGTATTTAGACTGTAAAATGTGGATTGTAATGATTGCAGCAGTGAATTTATGTAGTAGATTCGTATAGAATTTGGTTTATTTTGACTGAATTCACTTAACAGGTATTTTTTTATAAGGTTTCATGATAATTATAAAAGATTTACAACATTTATAATTGAATACGTTAGAACTAATTTTGTTAAAAAACAAAATTATGTTTTCAAGTTGATAAACTGCTGTAACCGATGTTATTATGACTTCAAAAATTTCTATATTTCCAACACCAGTGTTGTAGCTTCCAACGATCGTCAAGTTATCGTTATTCCGTATTCAAGATTTTTGATAGATGAGCACAACAGCATCAAACGCAAACTTGGTTG